GACTTACCTGTCGTTACCATATCGAAAAACGAAAACGTTCCGTTCGAACCGGTTCGTCGATTGCGCAACGGATGAAACGTTCGAAAACACCAGATACAGCTATCACTATTATAAGTATTGCGATATCGTGCGTGCGTACACATATTATTATCGCAATACCATTGACGATTATGTATATGTAGATTTGTTATTATTATTTTTCCTCTGGTTATTGTTTTTTTGTTGATTATTAATTATCGTTGAATCGTTTTCTGGTACCGCCCTGTGATCGAACGCGCGCCACTGTCGAGTGTCGACGCGACAACGCATCACGAACCGTTACCGCAGCAGCAGGTGCGAAGGATTTGGAGTTTCGACACAACAACACATTACTATTATTATTATCATCATCAACAGTGCGACCTGCCTACATAAGTTCCTACTTGTTCAGAACTAGCCATTTGAAGGCCTTAAGTTTACTTCTGTTTTTTTATCCCGTTTTTTACAATAAATTCTACTTTAAGCATTGTGAAGTCACCTTTGTCAYTTTTCTCGCAATGGTCTTCCAGTACCCCAACCGTCATAAACTTAYTACCATCATTGTTGCTACTGCAGACAATACCACTGAATATCTCACGTAAGTATTTTTTACTTTTAATTCTATTTGTTGAACTGCTTAATATTAGGTGATTAGTTATCTTAATGATATTATATGAATAGCACAAGCAACCAAACTTTTAAATTAGGTATATATATATAACGGTAAAGCCGTATAGGTTGAATACCCATTGTATAAGTTGATAAAAAAAAAAAAATAATTTAGTTAAAGTCCCAATTAGGTAGGTAGATGTGTAGTTTTTCCTTGAACTTTTGAGATTGCAAATCAATACTAATTATAATTTCTAGTTATAAAACACTACACAATTGTTTATCTTGATAATAACTTGTTTGAAATATAACCTTACCTATCTATAAATGTTTCATTAAACAAATTTGATATTTTTTTTATTAAATTTAAATTATTTATGGTTTTTAAACAGGTATCTACTTTTTAGTCCTGCATAACCGCAGTTTGACATCAATAGGAAGTTGACAAAAAAATAACCGGAGAGAATTTCAAATTAGAATTTGTATCAAATATTTGAAGAAAAAAAATTCTTATAAAGTATGTGACTGAAATTTGATAAAGACTACTTATAAAGTACTTGTTACTTGATGTGTCTATTGTCTAGTTATTACTTAGGTACTATGTTTGGAAATAGGGTATATAAACTTTATTTTGGCTTAGAAATCATTAAGGTTTTAAATATACCATCTGGAAAGTTTAGTATTTTGTAATATTAGTATACTATGTACCTATATGGATTTATAGTGTACATAAGTACCATGTAGTAGCAATTCATAGGTTAGTAAGGTTAGGTTTTGGGCCTGAGTGCACCCTACTATTTTTTTGAAGTTCATTCAATATTACAGTGACATCAGCCTTCCCCCTAAATTGCAAGTGCTATTTGTGTTAAAAAGTAACATTGACTATAAATAATAAAGTAGGAAATTCATAAAAATGTATCATTTTAAATCTAAGATTTGAAAATTCAATGCAAGATTCTTCATCAATTTGTATTTATTTATTAACCTACCTAAAAGCCGTATTAAATTTTTATGAGCATTTGAATTACAACATAGGATATTCACTTAATTTCTCTTGTTCAAAAACCAATAATCGTAATAACTTGAAATTTACACCATATTTTTATTTTTATTATTCCTATACTTGATACAATTTTCAAAATATTTCAACAGTGAATTCTGTGGCAAAAAAAACTAAAAACTATACAAACACAATTTTTTGTTATAGTTATTTGAAGTTCAAATTTGGATGAAATTACATATTAAATAACCGAGAATAACAATTTTAGTTATATTATTGTAATTTAAAAATATTATTCGTGGGTACTTAAAATTTCTTGAGTATACTTTAGATTCTAATTGTAATAGTTAATGTTCCTTATGACTAATCTTGGTCCTTTATAATAAATTATATATACTAGAATGACTGAGTGAGTATGGTAAATAATGAATCTGATTTAATTAATTTGGAATTTCTTTGATAGGTACCTAATTTTTTTTGGGGAAACAATAACAATATAGTCAATAGTTAATATAGTATAATATATTCTAGACTGATAAACCGTCTCGATTCACAATCATTTTTCTTATACAATGATTTTATATCATTGAATTCYAATTTAATACCATCCATTTTAATCACTTACAAAATTAGTGAAGTTATCTTAAACATCGGTAACAATAGCAAATAAATTCCGATTTGATCCTCCAGCTTTATCAACATCAAGGATTATAATTCTAACTGTATTTCCTATGTTTAAAATATTTAGTTTCATATTTGATTTTTATTATTATAATAGCTCTGTTTTCTAAATATTTTGCTGATTCCTCACAAGCATCCAGTATTTTTTTTAAATTGATTACCTTTGTTATTAAAAGCTTAAAATATTTATTAAAATATTTTCAATATTTTATAATATTATTGATGAATAATATACTTAGGTCTATGTATAATATAATAATWTACTTAGTCTATGTCTATGTCATCACTAGCACTAAGTATTTTTTCTTGTTATTGATTATTTAGGTAATTAAAAATATTAGGTAAATAATTAATACTATTATTTTTCAATATTTAATAATTTGATAATTCAATAATATCTCTAGGCCAGTGTTGGGTAATAACGTAACAAAAGTAATGCGTTACAGTTTCAAATTATTAAGTACCTACCTTTTGCGAATTGAAAAAAAAATATGTCTATAGTGCGGGTATGATCATTTTTACCAATCTAGTATAGTAATATACTATRTATATTTATTAAAGCTCCTTATACAACTGATCTCCCAATTTTGAATTCAATGGCATTAGTAAAGAATATTTTTATTAAATACAACATAGCTTTACCATCCAGTGCTTCTGTAGAGCGATTATTTATTGTTTCAGGGGACATTTGTTCTAAAAAAAAGTCACGTATGATTGGCAAAAATTTTGAAGATACACTATTGTGTAAAGTTAATTTAAAACATAAATAAATATAAAATAATAATATTGTATTATATTGATTTCTTTTTCAAATTATATCTATTTAATATGGGTAATGTATTTCTAGTAACATTATTGTCAGGCACAATAATAATATTGTTAAGAAATATTAAAAAAATATTAATTTTTTTTTGTAATGAGAAAGTAATGAGTTACTTTTAAATTTGAAAAGTAAAGTAATTTCATTACAATTTTACTAGAGTAACGAATAAAATAACTTTATTACATTTCTCACTAAGTAACTTTATTACTTTTAAAAAGTAATTTACCCAACACTGCTCTAGGTCTATGTCATTGTCAGGAGGTTTCTCTAATTGGCTGTTTATAATAGTTTTGGTATATTTTTAAATTGTGATTTTGCTAGTTATCTGTTATATTCCCTAACTAATCAATAAACAGCTTAGAAAATAACGATAATTAATATTGACTAAACTTGTCAGTCAATCACAAAAAATATACACTGAAAATTGGTAATTGGATAAGTTCAAAATAGTTCAAAATGAAAATAATWTATATTATGTAGTACTATACTGCTATGTAGTACTTATATTTCAATGAGGTCAATGTTTTTATTCATAATACGAGAAATAGGTAGGTCTAAAATATCCTAAAAAATTTAAAAATTCATTCAAAAGTCAAAAAATGCCCTTAAAAGTTTAAAATTCGCTAAAAACGCAAAAAATGTCTCAAAACATTTTACTGGTTAGAACACAGAGTACCTATTTGAAATATGTTTTTAGATTGGAAAGCATTCAGACCTGTAAAGAATACTTTTAAAAAGTATTTGGAACACTTTTCAAATTATTATTATTATTTATTTATTTTCATTTAAAAAATAGAAATGTATATACATATGCATGTAAATTTATACAAATATTTATACATAATATTATAAAACGGCATTATACAT